TTTCTGCTGTGAAACACTCGTACGCTCTGACCTATATACTATTTTGAGGATAGCACAAAAAAAAATCAATTTACTCTGCTGATGTGTTCGAGCAGAAATGATGTAAAACATGAAGGGAAGGCAGCACGGTTCAGGTTATTGGTGAGTAGTGTCTCTGCTTCCCTTTCCCACTGCACTGTGGGACAAAGGAGTCTGTTCCAACAGCAGAGAGGTTTCTGTGTCTCCACAAACTCATTCGGTACATTTAATGTCGTCTCTAACGGCGTCCGGGTTCAAGGAAATGTCCCACGGACACATCTCTCATGTTGGTGTTTTGCAGCATCTCTGTCACTTATCGTGCATTTAGTGGGAACTCGCCACTTATTCAAATCTATTTTAGAATTTGTATAGTTTATCAAAGGACACCAAGCGGGGCCAAGACACTGGAAAACCTACTTAGAATGCACGCCTGTAATGGTGAGGGTTCAATTTACGTCCAACAAAAACTGCTCGACATCCAAAAAAAAATAAGATCTGATATGGTGGATAAACAAATATCAAAGATGACAAACTGCTAACTTTGTACGACAGCGATGCTGCACACGGAGCGTCTGAAAACATCCACACATGCTAATAAAGGCGAACGCGGATTTGAATTTCTGATGTGAGGCACAGCCAGACGTTGAAAGGAAACACATGACTAATGAGGCTGGCGTTTTGCTGTGCTGTTGACGAAGCCCTGCAGGTCACTGGGGGATCGACACTTCAAGCTGAAGTCCTGCAACTCTGTTTGTTATTTTGTCAGAACATGTTGTCAAGTGCACATGCCATCGACCCGGCCGTCCAGCTGCAGGATGTCACACATCATACTGACTGTTCTACCTTTGAATCCTCATTCGTTTTCAATATCAGCTCTTTTTCTCCACCGCTGCAGCACTTACGGAGGATTGTTGCACTGCCTGCTGCGGGAGCGAACGCCCCCTCCACACGTTCTGGAGCAGGAGCCGAACTTGGACCAGGAGCCCCAGCTTCCATCGTGGCCTTGAGGCTCCTGGCTGGATCTCCAAATGCAATGGCCCTTGAAGCACCACTGAAAATACAGCAAAGGCAGGAGAAAAGGCAGCACCGTGAGACCGAAGGTAAGGTGAGTAATGTCCACTGAAAACTTTCTCATTTTCTCTCTCTGAATAATTCCACATCTGCGATTACTGCTGAAGAAAACTGAAGCGCATTCAAAGACATCGCTTACCTTTCCCGGTGCACATTCAGTGCCGTCGACCGGAGGCCCTTTTTTGGTTTTGCAAAAGTACTGGTTGTCAGGGTGGCTGCACCACAGCTGCTTGCAAGGGTCGTAGGTTCGGAACTACGCGTTGGGAAACAGCAGTTTTAAAATGCACATAAGTAAACAAACTGATTCACTTCCTGCTGAATATCCGCCCATGCAGGTCAAAACACTGTGAGCTAGCATTTTCTCAGGCAGTGCGATTATGTTGGATTCTGAATAAAAAAGTCAAACTAATCAATATTTCGGGGATTACACAGGCGGGAAAGACTTACAGCGGTGCACATCTTATAACCGACGCCGAAATCAAAGCGGCACTGCTCATCCATTGAGTAATTTATCCCGGGGAGCTCGGGAAGCTTGGGCCACTTATGTTCAAAAGGATCATCCAGCAGGCAGTCGTAGGAGCTGAGAAGATAATAATACAGTCAGAAGCGTGACATCTTTGAAGAACAGCTCATGAGGCCGAGAAGAAACAGAGGAATAAGGGACGGGGAGACGTACTGGATGTATCTGTTGAGCTCCTGCTTGCTGCAGCGAGACCAGTGGTAGCGATGGAAAGCTGCTTGGACCAGCGGGGCCATGATGCTGCCCATGCTGGTCTCATCAGCACAGCGGTTCCCCTGGCCGTCGTGCTCCATGCCTAGCCTGAAGGGTGAAAACAAGTTTGTTAAACAGGTGTGCATGCGGTGTGAACAGCAGAACAGATGTGGACAGATGGAAGTTGGCTGATTTCATGTATTTGCATGTATCCCACCAGATGCTGTGCTGGATTTAAATACCTTCAGGCTCTACGGGACGATGACGTTCAGAGCAACATGCTGCACGGATTAGAACTAAAACTACTGCGACAGACACCAAGTCTCAAGTGTAAATGATCTATTTAGTAAATGGTTGCATGGAATTCAGACAGTTTTCATCTATAATGTGGGTATTGGTGTAGATATTCTGGTCCTGGTACTATTCAAAAAGTTCTTGGCCTCACCCGGAAACAAGGGACATAACTTGTCTGTGGAGATTCACCAGGTCATGGTTTGTCTGGTAGATTAATCGTAGCAACTGTTTGAGTTCCTTGAAGACGTTTCATCCAGGAGGCTTCATCAGCTCTGACTGACTAGTCGGGAGTTCCAGGTATCCTTCAGGAGCCGTTAACACCTGAGTTTGGGTTTCAGCTGGGAGTTGTTATTCCTCCCCCTCGTTATGTGAACCCCTCTGTGTCGGGGGGAGCACTAACGACCCACATAACGAGGGAGACGAAGAACAACCCCCAACTGAACTCAGGTGTTAACGGCTCCTGAAGGATATCAGTACCTGGAACTCCCAACTAGTCAGTCAGAGCTGATGAAGCCTCCTGGATGAGAGGTGGAACGTCTTCAAGGAACTCAAGCAGTTGCTACGATTAATCTACCAGAATAAGGGGCACAACTTCCATTTTGCAACTAACTATCCTACACTTATATTTTATCCACCAAAACTTCAATCAAAGAAAAACGGACAGAAGCCTGGAGCTAATGTTCTGTTGCCCCGTCCACTCAGCACAGGAGGCAGAAGCAACCAAACGTGACTTTGAACTGTTGCCCCTTGAACCTGCGACCTGCGCCGCGTGACGTCTGTCTGCCTCCCAAACTGAAGCCCTACTTGCGTGGTCGAAGTGATGATGAGGTCACGCGTGTGGTTAAAGAGCGTCTAAAAGCTGGAGACGTGACCTTCCACAGAGGCACGGCGAAGCTCGCAACAACAACCTTCCTCGTCTGACGTTTTCTGGTGAGGCTGAGAACTGTTTGAGGCATTAGATCAACTGTTCTGTTTTTAGACGCCTTTGACAACAAACAGCTCCATGTCCGAGCACCACCCTGCTCTTAAAAAGGCCCGGTACCATCAGAACCATCAGACTGGAAGATTCCCACTCACAGCGTGTCTGTATGTGCTTATCATGCAGAGGCAGCTAACACGGTTTAGCTAAAAGGGGCAAAGAGCTAATCTGATTCTATCCACAGGTAAAATAATAAAAACCTGTATGACAGCACATCTAAACCTTGGTTTAATTTGTGTGAGTGCAAAAACGGCACTTTGCTGTTTTAACCTTCTGAACCACAGATAGGTTTGAAAGACATGTTATCTCCACAAAAAAGGCCAAGTTCACAGTTACATAACGTGGCCTTCTTCACAGCACATATTTTGACTTCTCACAGAACGCAACACAAAGGTTTCACTAATATAACAAGAGAAACGTCCAGAAGTGTGCAGCAGTGAGCAGAACGATCAGGAATCAGCCAAATGTGACAAATATTATCATCAGAGTCAGAAAGTGTAAAAACAGAAAGAACTGCTGCATTTTAAACGTTCTGACAGTCCTTGAACTCATCACCAGCGACATGCGGCTCTGTTAGGAATCAAACCTTGAAACTAAAAAGTATATTATTTAGTCAAAATCACTTTATTCTGCACACACAATTTAAAAATTTGCAAAAAGGGAACATATGAAGAGTTTAATTGCAAAAACAGATAACTGCATTTTTGTAGGAAACTTGTGTTTTTTTGTTGTTTGCATGAGACAATATCAATCAAACTGAAGCTGAGTGGATCTGACTCAGCAGAAATGACAAAAGTAGAGGTAAGTTTGATTGATATTGTTTCAGGTAGACGATGGAAAAGTGGGTTCATGAAGGTTTGTGAAGATGCAGTTATCTGTTTTTGCAAATGAACTCTTCATATTTTGCAAAACACAAAAAATTCTGCACAATGTAAAGTCATCAAAGACTCAGTCGAGCCCAACAGTCTCAGTTTCAGTTGAACTGGGCTGAACTGCAGGCAGTGTACACACAGAGCAGATAGAAGTGTGAAAAAGAATTGAAAATATCAGTAGCTCAGTAACTGGAGCTTTTCCAGTATTGGTAACACCTGGGCTCACATGGAAAAATGTTGTACAAATAGAGTCCAGTGTTTTTGGGGGGATTTATTTTATTTTTTTTGCAAAACAAACGATCAAAAAAATTCAGTTTTCTTTTTTTTTTCTTTTTCTATGATTTGAGGTATTATAACTGTGTCATACTGCACAGAAGACATTTGTGAGTTTCCTTTACTTCTAGCAGTGATTGCACTGTCTAGACAGAGGTGCAGGACTTTATATTGTGGAGAAAAAATGAGTCAACATCGAGTAAAAATGTGATAGGAGCGAGAAAAAAAAGGCTGTAACATCCTGGAAGCTCTGCTGGTTGTTTTTGCAGCGCTACATCGGCTGGACGCTGGTGGGAGCGTATGTACAGTAAAGAATAATATCGAGCGTCTCTTCTAAGTCCTCAACAACTACAGACGGTCCAAGTGTACTTTTCTAACCTCAGCAGCAGGAGTGATGCCGTCAGAGTAGAGAATAGGAGGTTATCAGACACTGACTTACATTACACTCTGATTTTTACTACTTTGGATGGTGAACTACAGAATCCACATTTCAAAGAAACAGATGAAGGAAGCCTCAATAAGAGAACAAGCTGTATAACTACTGACACACTGACTGAGCCTCATGGGAGCTGCAGCTGATGAATGCCCAAACATTTCTCATATATATATATATAATAATGGCATATTGAAACCGTGCTCGTATATTTTAGAACGTGGACAGAAAACAGCAGGAACGAGCTTCAGCCTGTAACACGCTGGGCTCATTTGTGAACTGAAGTGCTGTCTGCAGGGGGTTAGCAAAGAACATCCAGTAATCTGTCACAAGTCGGTGCAAGACGACAACAAAGTCGAGCTCAGTTCCCAGATATGTACCGAGGATTCATGAGCAAACTAGACAAATTAACACATCTGCAGAAAGTATTAGTCTAACAAAGAAATAATTAGCTCCGTGTTCCTCTCGTTTCACTTTTCATGGTGATATCTTCAAGTGAAGCGGCGTCTTTGTTGTTTCGGCTCTGAGCAGCTGCCTGCTGTGGCTGAACATGAGAGCCATGAGAGTGAATCAAAATGAGCTGGTGAATCACAACAACAACAACAACGCCGGTAAACAAAAAAAAACAACAAAACCCTCAGAGTCAAGTGGTGACTCAATAAGAACAAACCCTCTTAAAGCAGCCGTGTGATTAACTGTTAATATAAAACGTGCTGATTATTGCTGGTTTAAGTCAATAAGCTACCGGTTGTTTCAAGAAAATCAATGATGTCATTACGGTTGGTGTGCGTTTATTACGTCAGTGTGTTGAAATCCTGTGGGTTTTAAAAAAAAAAGCAATAAAAAAAACGCAGGATTCGTTTGTGTAAAATCATCCATCCAGCTTCAGTTCCTTCTAATCCTGCTCAGGGTCATGAAAAGCTGAAGCTTATCTCACAAGAGACAGAGAGGCAGAGTCCATCACACGGCTGAAGCTAACCTGGTGGGGATTTATCATTTCGCTTCTTACATTTGGACTGAGGACAGAAAATAAAACTCCGCTGCAGCCTCGAGGACGCGGACAGGACGCCGCTGGTCGGGTTTACCTGAAGCAGCGCGTTGCTCTAACGTAAATGCATCGACACCCATTTTTATTAAATTTATACGGAAACATTTGCAGTTTAATTCAAACGAACAGCTGCTCGGGTTCGCCAGCGTCTAGAAGCAATCAAAGTAGAACTAAAATCAATTAAAGCCAGATTCCACAGGTGGCCTTTTTTCTGCGACGCTAAAAATAAAAGTGTCTGGTGCATTTAAAGTCAGTAATGATGAGACCTTTGCAAATCGTTTCAGTGCATTCGAGTCTTTTTATGCTTCCTCTGCGGGCTCATATATATTCAGTCATTCCAGGTTAATTATCTGCTTCACACCTGACGCCCCAGAAGATCCAAGAAAGTGTTTTAAATCAGCAAATATGTCAAAAAATAAATACTTCTGTGGTTGCGCGACACATCATTTATTCATCTTTCATTTTCAAATACCTCAGAGATCATCATCGCATTTTTCTTTCTAATATGCAGGTTGTGCAAATATGTAATTTACAGAGTAAAGTTTAAGCAATCTGCTAAATAAAGGGATGTATTATAGCAACGAGCAAGAGATGATGTGTTCTGATGTTATACTCAGTTAAATTGGAATTACAGGAATTCCTCAGCAGATTGAGTGTAAAGGACAAAGTTTTCACTGCATCTAGTTTTAATTCTAATAGAAAAACGATTTTCCAACAGAGTAGATCACCGTCACCTCGATTTGTGCTACGATTCACTGAAAAGTTGTTCTGCTTCTTACTGCAAGAGGACACTGTTCCCCACAGTTTGCTGCAAGGACAGTCGTGCACGTAGTTGTGTTAAAAAGTCAAAGCAATGACGGGAAAGTCAAAGTTTTGTTTTGAAACACTACCTCTGATTAGCCTTTAATTTGAGACACTGTGAACAGATTTCAGGGGCTGTTTGGACACAAATCCACATTTGCATCGCCTGTGTTTCAGTCCAGTGGCAGCTCAGTGTTGGTTCAGCAAAATAAAAAAAAAGAAAGACACAGGCACGATGAAAACCACTGAGAACTATTTCAAAAGCACTCACATCTACATGACGGACGCTCAGTCACTTTTGGATTCAAAGGCCCAACGGCTCTAAACACCGACCGCCACAGTCGGCTTTTCTTTCCACCGCTAACAGATCAGGAAATCGGTGACCTGCTCTTCTGTTCTTTTGTGCGATGTGACAGTCAATCACGTCTGTGGCTTTCAGTGGCGGCGCCGCAGCAGGAGGCGGCGTTCACAGAGGTCGCCGTGCTGCATGAGCCTTTAGAGCTCCATCAGAGGAGAATGAGGACGTGTGAAATGGACTTATGCACAGTAAGTCTGCTGACGTGTCACACTGCAGTTTAAAAGTTCCTAAAGTGGATATAGCCAATTAAAAACTCAAAGTAATGAACCGTAGAACCAATGAACCGCCTTCCTCTTTATCCTCACCCCGACCGGGCGAGGCAGACAGCTCCCTAGGCCCGGTTCTGCTCGAGGTTTGACATGGATGTTGTGTCTTTCTCTATAAAATAAGTTCTTCACTTTACTGTACAAAGTTCCTTGAGATGAAAAAAGTTGTGAAGTGGCGCCATACAAATAAAATTAATGTCAATTGAAGTCTTTCTGTCCTTAAACCTGGACGCACACCGTGGAGGCGGCAACAGAGCCTCATTAAAACTGAATTACAGAGCGACACGCAGAAGTATCCGCTTAATTGGTTGCAGCGAGACCCCGCGAGACCCTGCCGGACCTTTCATTACGACGCCATTACTCACACATGGCCGGTTTCGTGAGCAACCACAAAGGCGGAGGAGAAGCCGTCCTCATGGTTCAGAGTGCAGCTCCTCAGTGGGTGGCACATCCCCGTCACCGGAGCATAACCTGAGCGACAGAAAAGACCACACAGCCCCAATAATCAAGTACCAGAATGAAGGTGGTGACATTCTCATGCAGTGCAATAAGGTGGAAAATTGTCTCTTTACGTGACATTATTGAACTTTTATGAGAGATCTATAAATGATGTAATTGCAGTCATCGCGAAGGTCTTCTCGGCGCGTCGCTGAGTTTCCCAGGAGAGCTTGAGATTGCTTTTGCTCTGATACGGAGCATTGTATTCAGGCAGTAACGCTCGTACTCACTCAAGCTGAACTAAAGAGAAAAACGCCTCTGAAAGAAAATGTTTATTAAAGACGTGCTGGTGATGTTTTGTAATAAGATGCCAATCGATGATAGAATACCTTTAAGCTACTCGACAGTGAAATACTGAAAGTCTTTATGTTTATAAGAAAGCATCTTAACAGCACTTTGCTAACGAACAACGTACGTCAGACTACAGAGAGTTTAATCAAGCGGAAGGCGTGTGAAGGAGCCTGGAGCTCGCAGGTCACAGCTACCTCACCACACATAAAGCAAGTCCCAAAGCAACTGGAGAAGCCCTTCATCATCATCATCATCAGTACCCAGCAGACACATTTCACACAGTTCCACCAGGACAACACACTTTTTAAGCAAAGCACAAACACCAAACATAACTCGATCAAGAGGTGTGCAGCGATTCAGCTTCAGTGCGTTTGGTTTGGTTCAGAAGCACGCTCGTGTCGGCCTTCGTTTGGCGGCTTTCGGGTAATTTCATGCGTTCTGACCATCAGAAGACCATTTGTTTTGGCATGCAGGTAAAAAGCAGAGAATGCAGCAGGCAGACAGCTGGTGATGAAGGCTAATGAGAGGCGTGTATGTCGGGTTATTTCGGTGGTGGTGGTGGTGAAACAGCGAAGTTATTTCAGACACAGCAGTATGATCGACCAGACCGGCTCTACATGATTGGCGTCCTATTCACAAACGAATGTAGTAATGCTGCAGGTGAAACAGCCAAACATGAAAGCAGCTGTGGAGCATGACCCTTTATCCGAAAGGCAGATAAAAGGAATTCAAGGGAATGTAGATTACATTCCCATGAAGAGGCCGTTTGGAGCTTTTGCACATTGAAGCGAAAAAAAGGCGCAGCAGCAGCAGCTACGTTAAAAAAAAAAAAAAAGTGTTTCTCTACTGCTGATGTCAACAGTGAGGAGAGAAGGTGGTCCCTGTCGTCTGGTTGATAAACTCAAACATCCTGCATGGCAATCATTCAGTGACAAGGAGAGCAGATCAAAATAAAACACCTGAACTCATTCACAGGATTTGTAAACTCATTATCACTCAATGACACCTCGTGTGACGGTTTTTGCATCTTCATTCGCTCCATAAACTCCTAAATCCTATTTAGTATCTGTGTTTGAATAAAGAATCTACCATCTCACAGCTAAACCTTGACAACACAGTGCGATGTCTGCTCGTGACCCCGAGACGCGGCTCAGGGTCCGGCCCCGCACAGCGCAAGGTGCCATAGAAACCGGGCTTGTTATGAGCACAACACAACCGCAGCTATGGCAACATCTGGAGGTGTGACAAGCAAACCAGGTAGCCGCGGGCCGTCCTCTAAACATGACACATGTGCTTTAAAAGTTAAAAATATAACACAGGTCAAAGCGAGAGATCGAGCCGGAGAACAGAGGATGTTTGTTCATTCTGGACCCAGTTTCTCTGGAGGTTTGGCTGCTCACTTCAAATTTTGTTTTGAAGGGCTGAAAAGAAGAAATACAGGGTGAGACATAGACTAGAGCACAGCATGTATAGCACAGAACTAACCACTGCATACATGGACGCTAACATCTGGGTTGGAGGATAATCTGCTGGTTATTTACGAGTTAATGGTTCCAAAACTGAACTCAAAAATAACAAGTTAGTTCACATTAACGACACACCAACAAACATTTCTGTTTTTTCGCTACATGCCAAAAACCATCTTCAGCATTTTCAATCTCAGTTTTTCATTTTTCAAGGGTGGCATCAACGTCAAGTCAGCAAGGTTTTGGAAAGACGTTTGGTAATCAGATTCCTCTGAGGCCGCCGTCAGCACAATTCGGTGACCCTCAGCGGCTTTAGAGTTTCCTTCGACCTTACCTGGGCAAGACTTGAAGCCAACCCCTTTGTGAATGGAAGCAGATATCAGCACTCAGTCTGCACAGGCCTCGATCGAGAAAAATACAGTACCTTGCATACCTGCGGGACCAAAATCTTGCCTTGTGAGGAAGATGGCGTGGTCGTGGTACTCGGCGTGGTCGGGGTCGCGGCGCTGCTGCGTGTTGGCCCATCGGCACACCTGCTCGAGGCTGCGAGATGGGTTGCCACGCTCGATCAGGCTGATAGACTGCAGAATATCAAGGAGGAAGGACGTGTTATCAAGCGGTGATTAGAAACCTGATTGCCTGCCTTGTCACCACCCTGCAGGGAAAGAGTCTCAGCGCCACTCTGGGCGTTCCCTCAATTTGAAAAACCAAAAGGAGAAAACTTTTAAATTCTCTGAGAAAGTTGGTGGCACAGCCCAACATAGAGGCTAAATTCACATTTTCACATCAAAGCACATAAAGCTACGATCTACATGACTGTGACTAAACAGTGAAAGAGAAAGCTGGCGCAGCAGGAGGCCACGCTGTGGGTGTTTCACCATAGACTAAAGCAGCACGTGGGATTAAAGGCATTAAATGTAAAATGGTTCCAGTAAATACTGAATGTTTGTTAGGTTTGTAATTCAAAGGGTTGCCTTTTCTTTAAAGCTGTTGTGCCAGAACAGAGGGATGTTGTCATGGTGCTAACAGGCTCCACAATGACAAGCTAAACACAAGATTAACCAGAAACTACTAAAGTTTCTATTAACTAGAAACTATTCCACAATTATTCTATTAACTAGAAATTACTCAGAGAGCAGATCTTCTACGTTTGTCATGTGAAAAATGTGAAAAGTGCACCGGTCACATAGTGAAGGTTTATCTGTGTTCATGTGGCAGAGGATGATGATGTTCTGTTTCGCCTCCTATGTGACGAACATCCATCCAGTTCGATAACCAAACTAAGTCACGGATGAAACAGTGCAGGTTTGATAACAGCACAGGTCAGGAGGAAGAAGAGCGGACAAAACTCTTTTTTCTTTTTTGTTCCCGCTGTGAGGAAAGCTGGTGACACATTCAACACATTTGAGCTCATCTAATTGGTGCTGTGCAAACAGAACCTCTCTGCTCTGGCAAAGCCCAGCAAGCCGAGGCAGGTCAAAGGCAAAACCCTCGGCCTCCGGGCAGCATCAGTCAGATACGCAAAGTAAAAGGCACTTGAGCACATTGGAGTCTGTCACCACGCACATAGAGTACAGTGCATTTGTAGCTCATTACAGGTGACGACAGGCAGCAGCAGGTGAGCAGGAAAACAAAACCACGGATACATAAAATCCAATAAAAATGCAAATACTGTGTTTTGGCTCCAAGCACCAGCCAACTATTACTGCACAGCTTGACTTGTTTGCATTTCCTTTGTTTGTTTTCTATAACTTGCTCTCTCCTCGTGCACATTGCAATCAGGAGCGAAGAAAAACCACTACTTACGTGGTCCGGGTTACCGAACAAGAACCGTGTGCTTCAGAACCTTTAATCATCAGCCAGACGGGAGCGTTTTCAGCATATTTGTGCTCTGCATTATTTATAGATGCTTTTCCTGTTACATCAGCAGACGAGTCCCTGCTGCGAGAGCTAATGTTCACGATTTGTTCGTGTCAGTCATTCATTTCTTGCACATAATGCATATTTTATAGATCTATATTTATACCGTGATTGACTCTTTACAGCTCTTAGCATTTAGCTCTGCTGCTGTTTTCTATTTTCGTTTCACACTCGCCTGTCAATTAAACAGTAAGCAGCACCCGAGGCACAACCAAATCACAATCTGCTAAAGACCTCTAACTGCTGAGGGAGCGCACCGGGGATATGAACGCTCGCTTCTTATTTTAGTGCCATCATTTTAATTCCTATGTTCTTCAAAGCACATAGTATCAGCCAGCAGCATCTTAGTGTTGTAGAAATATAGAAAACTATTTTGTGGTGGTGCTTTACATACAGGGAATCAACAGGCTACTGGGTTTAATAACCTGTCTACTGTAAACCCACACATGCAGCAATTTGCATATTGTAACTGCAATATTTCTTTTAAAATAAACTGCTTGCTGAATTCTTTCTGTGTCAGTGTGTGCATGTGTGATTTTTATGTATTTAAATGTTCAAAGGTGGAAAGCGAGGATGGGTTCCGGTGAGTTTCTGTCCAATTTGAAACTATTGTCAAAACACGAATGCACTGCTGCATGTGATGATCTTTGCTCTTCATCTGCTGCCAAAGGCACACTGGCCCTGTTATTATCACGCACATGCACACGTGTAAAAGGTCAATTAAAAACCCATAAAAAGTCGTCTTTCTCAAAGCCGCTCTCGTGTGCGTGCAATAAACACGAAGCTTTAGCCTGCAGCCAGTCAGTTCCTGTAAGCGCTAACAGCGGGAACAGCTGGATCTGTGTAGCTGCAACACAACAGGTCCAGCAGAACATCACATCGTGCTGCTTTAGCTTGAACAAAAATGGCACTGAGGGTGTTTTTGAATCTTTCCATCACTGGAAGGAGATGTCTGAAAGCTACTGTTCTCTATTTCCTGTCAGTCAGAGTGAAAGACGTTTTTTTTTTGTTTTTTTTTTATCATTATTTTGAACAAAACTGAATGCAACATAAATAAACTACATTTCATCGTTCCCTGTAGGCAATAATAGCAATGCATAGTTAATGTACATAGGTTATCCTGTGGATCGACAGGGCAGGCAACTCAAACAATAAAGATACGCCTGCTTTCAAATCTGCATTCAGTGCATTCGCCTTGAGAGCTTTTTGAAAACGTATCTGAACATTCAGAAAATCAGCATCCGAGACGTCTCACCTGCCGGTACCCGACCATTATCATGCGCACGAGGACGATGTTGATGTTCGTTCCCAGAGACTCGTCGTGATAGATTTCATCAACCTGAAAGGAAATGAACAGCGTCTTGTCACAGATGTGAAAGCTGAGAAGTGCATTAAAAGAAGCTGACATGAGAACATCTGACGGATCGCTCAAAGGCTCGCAAGACACGATCAAGCACACGGCCGTCCTCAAAGCCCAGCGTTAGTGCAAACTTCTGAGAAAGAGAAGTTCAGCGAATCCACTCAGGCTAAGAAGGTAAAATAAGGGCAGGTGGGACATTTAACTGACTATTACTGAACAATAGCAGAGCTCACTGGCTTCTTCTCTGGCTTCTAAGGTTTCCAAGGGATACAATAGTCAGTAATTACGGGCGATTTATTAATAAGTGGGTACTGCAGAGGACTAAGGATGCCAATTATGGTTGTTCAAACTATGGAAATCAGAGACTGTAACTGACAGCAACTGAGGAAGAAGTAAAGTTAGTGAGCTCGTGTTCACCACATCGGCTACACTGGTAGAGAACAGACGTTAAATTACACTGGAGCTGCTGGGAGCAAAAAAAACAAGTTTATTCAGTCACACAGTGTCCCTTAAGCTATTTAATTCACTTTCCTGTTGAAATCCATCTGCTTCATCTGAAGTCTCCTGATGCACACGGAGACAAAACGCACAGAAACAACTGCTGCTGCTGTAATTATGCCGCCATCTACGTCTGAGCTGCAAATCTTTTTTATTTTTACAACAAACTTGATGATGAAATATGTCGTTAATACACTGACTGGCAAGCGTCCAATGAAACCAGCGTTGTTACGCAATATGAAAGAAGCCTGACCCAGAAATGCGCCGACTGATATTCGGCTTCATAACAGCGCCGCGGTATGTGCCAGAGATCCCATTCAAATCCCAAGCCCAATTTCCACTCCAGCTTGTTGTATTTTCATCCAATACCTGTCGGCACGCGTTTAGGGGCGCGTGAATTCAATCATCTGAGAGCAAACAATTTATTTCTCCATATGTAAGTCATTCAGTCGGGGCGTGCGGGTTATTGATTGCAGTAAATAAGATGTAATTTAGCTCCACGTTGTGAAGAGAAAACATCGACCAGCAGCATTCTGAGGCCGGTGGGTCGACGCTGCATGTGACAGGCGCGTACATTCAACTCGATGTGTTGCAAGCTGGAAATATGCAACACAGCGTGTCATCGTGTCATCGTGTCACTGCTGCGACTTCCTACCAGTTCAGCAAAACCACAAAAAATGTTCTCATCTCTGCCTAAAAGAGCTGCACGACGACTGCGACTCAAACTCTCGAGTCTAACATGAACTGTACAGATATCCTCAGTTAATCTTTTTCTATACAGCGATTCAAACATGGACATGCTGCTGGACGTTCTGTAATGCAGATTGTTACTGCAGCAGCTACAAAGCTTCAAATCGTCTCTAAAAGCTGCATCTCCTGCGGTATTCTCCTGACAGCTTCAATGACCTCTTCAGTGTCGACTTTATCCCCAAACTCCATCTCCCCGTGCTCAGGAAGTATTCCCTGCTCTCCTTGTCCGATGACGAAGACCCCACCAAGGACAACGTTTCCCACAAAGCCGCTCCTAAAGGCCGTTCAGCCAAACCCCGACACACAGGAACCCCAGCATACCCATCCTTCGTTCACGTGGCCCATAAAAGCGCCTCTTTGTGTCCAAGAAGATTTCCCCATTGAAGAACTGCCTGAAGTTCTGGACCTCATCGTTCAGGGAGCAAGAACTCCACACAAAAAAAAACCCAATGAAGCTACTGATATCAGAGATTTCCAACACAGTGTTCCTGTAAAATGTGCTATTTTTTTAAATTTTGTAATATTATCAGTTAAAGTTCTAAACCGCTCCCCTGAGATTAGTCGTCTAGTAATCTTATCTTATCGTTGTTTCACCAGCTTGTACGTTGAACTGCATCATCATTGCAGTTCATTTCTAACACCACCAAGCTCGCTGCTCGAGGCCATAGACTCACTGTGAATTCCAAACAGATACCAAAAGCAGGATTTCTTTTCAGCACCACATACTGCCGAGTCAATGTTTCCACCTATACGGTGTGCGATCTCCCCCAAGCAGGTCTCTGAGATGATTAAAAACCACTCTGCTGAAAAAAATAAAAACGAATCAAGTCCCCGTTTCCCTATATGAGCTCCTCGACCTTCTGCATCTCATCCGCCTGTAATTTTAACTTTCTGCCGTCTCAACTCTCTAAAGACTTTTCAGAGCCATCGTCCACTGGTTTCCTGTTGGACTTAATGAGTCTCCCAAGGTTTGGTGTTTGACAGGCCTGAATTCAGCCTCTACTTAAAAGACTTTGCCTTGACTACCACCCTGATCTCCAAATTAGCCTTCGTTTGAAAACTTGTCAAAAGCCAGTTGAGATGTTAGAAACGGTTTATCTGAAAAATACCCACTGGATTTTTCTGAAGAACCTTCAAACTGAAACTGCTTCACCTTTAGTCAAACATGACATCCTGAAAGCCTCATACTTGAATCACTGCTGGGTTTAATTTTTACTGGAGAGACTCGGGCATTGTGTGCATGTAAATGAGACTTTCTTTTTGCTTCTCTTTTGTTCTGATGTGGTGATTCATAATTCAACCCTTGGTGAACACTGTTAGAGCTGTATGTTTTACTTAAACCTCGAAGTCTTAATAAGCAGCAGACCAAATATCATCTCATCTCAGGGAAAACATTGTTTTGGCTTGACTTTAATCAGCACATTAACTGAATAGTTTATTTATTCACTTTCATGTCTGCACGTCTGAGACCGCAGCCAAACGATGGTTAGCTTCACTTATCAGGAGGAAACAGAGAGTTTGGATCGGTCCAAAACTTTAAGAACTCACCAACCAGCCCGTCAAAAGCTAATTAACTTATCTCATTTGTTTAAAGCGAACCAGAACAACATTTAAACTAAAGTTTGTTAGTTTTTCTTGATTTGGGAAGTCACACAGTTCCAATCAGAAGGGTTTTTACTTCCATCCTTCACCGGGTCACCTGTCGACCACACCCGCCTCTCCTGTGCCCAGTTCCAAGTGGACTTCCTTCTACTTTTGCCTGTTCTGTATCACCTAAATTCTCCAGCCTAGTTTTCTGAATGTTAACGAGGTTGTCTCTGTGGACCAGAACTTCTGTCATGGCTTCTAGTGCTGCTTGCCCACCTGCCACGTTGCCTGGTAGCTTCTGTCTTTTTCTAAAATGAACTGTGGTTGTGTTCTAATAACGATGCAACAACACCACACAGTACGCCAGAGAAAGATCTACTGTGTGCTCCATACAGGATAAAACAGTCAGATGTCCTGCTGCATCAGGTTGCATTTTGCTGCACGCCATCCTGACGCACAATCCTCCGAGCAGCAGAAGACGCATCACGTATGTGTTGCACAAGCGTGAGCCGGCAGACGACAGCTCATTTCACACTACAAACAGATACATGAGCAAGACAATTAAAGCCTAAGGAAAGACATTACCACAACGCAGCGTGTCCCATATGTGTGCACACTGCCAGCAGCACAATGTACTGCGTAAGCGGCGCTGCAACATGTACTGATGGGGAATGCAGCCTGTTCCTGCCTTCTTGCATTAGCCTGGGTCCTTCTCTTCACTCTCCTGATGCTAGATGTTTCTGCTAGCTTTATGTGAACCCAATCTAACCACCTGCTGGCTGTAGCTTTACATATAGAGCTCAGATCAAATAGTAACCTTTGGGGATTAAAGAGGAAACTCACGCTTAACCAACAGAACCTGCAGTTCCTCGAATGTCCACTTGAGGCCGAGTCATTCTCCACAGGCTCCCATGTTAAAAAGCCAAACGTTACAGCAGAAATATGCACATCTACACCTGAGTAGGTCAGGGAATTATGGTCTGTGCAGCTAATTTCCCCGTTTATGACAACCATACATGGGGTGAACTGGTATATAGTTCACCTGTTTAACCTTTATTAAAGTTATGCATAATTAAGGATGTGACTGTTCTGAGCAACAAGTGGGTGCATCATAGCAGCACCTCAGCTCCACTCCCGTCCCACTGCTTTGCTTATTTTTGGATTAGCCAGGAATTATAACCTCAAAACTGCTGTTTAGAAAACCTACAGGTGACGTCAGGGAGGATTTGTCTTTATATACAGTCAATAAGTGCAAACATGACTTCTGTGTTGATGTTTTCAGCGAAGGTTCAGAGAGAAAGAGGATTTCCTGAATAAGTGTGTTTTATTTATAATCGAGGTTTCTATAAATACTGTCAAACCCAGATAATAACTAATCACAAAGCAAATCGCCAAAGCCTCTGTCACCACACTGCATTCTACCAGTGATTTCCATCAGTTTTTAACCATATTTCCTTAAATATGACATAAATATTCTGTCATTTTGTCTTTCGAACGCAGCAACAACGACCTCACCGCTGCACATCAGCGGTACCAGAACAGTCCTCCACCCCCAGCAGCACCACAGAAGGTTCTGTCCTTTAATTACTCTCAAATGAGCCTTCACATAATAAAAATATTGATGTGCTCTAATCGCCGACACCTTCTTCTGTTGTTAACATCATTAAAAATTGTTCCAGTTGACCTCTCCTTATCGATCCGGTGGGTCTTCTGACCAACACCAAACACAGAAGGCATCGCTCGCTCCACCGTTCTGCTCGCATCGGTTAAAACGATCCGTGGTTCGTCTCTTTCCTCTCCGATCTTTAAAGCTTTGATTTTACACCAACATTATTCCATTTTTCATTCTCTCGAATCCGGAGAGAAAACCTACAGAAGAGCGTTTGCTCCAGGCTCCAGACGTAGGCAGCGCTGTGGCATCCCATGCCGTTACCACAACACGAAGCCTCCCAGCGGAGCAACATCAGCGGAGCCAATGCCAGAGAATAACTTTTACAGGCTGGCATTCGTCCAGACTGAGATCATTTGTATTCTGCTGCTCCGATATTTGTTTTTATTCTAATTAGGTTCTTCATAAAACGAGAACTGAATTATTTTTTCAGTTGAAAACATTGAACGTCAGAAGTTTGAATGATCACAACCTGCACACATGAAAGCGTGAACGTGAGCGCGACGCCTGCACACCTTGTGAAGGTTTTTAATTATCATTGTTTTATTTTTTACTTTAGCTACATGTCATGAAATCTTTGTTCTTGATTTAACAAGAGACGCTGCAGGCAAAGATAAAGACGACTGCATTTTTTAAGAGCTTTCTTCATTAATATTAACAGTTGATGTTGTTAAACCTCTCGTTAAAAGTCAACAGTGCTAAAACTCCAACCAGTCAGCTTGATCTGGGTGAAAATTACGACCGCGCAGAACAAAAGCTCTGTCACTGAAGAAAGGCTATCTTGGCTTAAGTCCAACTTTGCTCCGGGATGCAGGGCTACACCCAAGGCATTTAAGCAAATATTCCATTCACAGAAGCCTATTCAGGTCAATCAATGCTGTACAGAACCTTTGAGTGACCCTTAAATTCTCCCAGATTTGTTACAAACTCAGATTCCTCAGCCTGGTCCATACTGACCTATATACGTGTGTTTATGCTGGAGCCCAAACAGGGAAGCTCTAGAAAAACGAGGACGGCATCTTAAAAAATAGCATCATAAAAGCTCCATATGTAAACACTGAGGCTGCATTTTTTTATTATTTTTTTATTTTTTTCTTACAGAACTCAGGTCTCTGCATCTTTAAGAAAGAAAAGCTGGCTGGTGAGTCCGGCGGAGGGATGGGCCAGCCCCACGTATACGGGGATAATTACAAAGCCAGGAGGAGCACACAGAGGACTGAAACGAGACTCCTGTGGCTGAAAATGAGAGTAGCAGCTGTGGGCTACAGGCGCTAGGTGTCCCTGGCTTGTGTACAGCATCACATTGACATGGACAAAACCTGGTCCGCGGTCAAACAACACGGCCATTGTGCAGCAGGCACCTCGGCAGTCACCTTGGCTTCTGCGCAGACAGGATGTTCAGTAATCAATCCCTCAGGGAGAGTTTCTCCAGGTGGTACTACACATTCTGCAGCCACGGAGCAGGGATTCGGAGGGATTTGAGTGGGCAGAGCTCTTTCAGACACAGCAAGCCTGTGGCTTACGAGTGGAACTAAAGAGTTTTGACCCTCGTTCGTTTAAACGGCCCTTTGCTTCCACGAAATTGCACGTTTGCCCTCCCCTTTAAATTACACTCAGCATGAATGGGAGTGCGTAACTTTTATAAAGTTTTAATTAAAAGCATTTTTAACTCCAAGGACTTCCCCTGAATTCACTTGTCCGGTCAGTGAGCTGAAACACTCTGAAGTGCTTATCGGAGCTCCTGACGCTCTCAGCTCTGACAGCATCATCGGCCGAGGCTGCTGAAAGTCAGACGTTTCTCTCCGTTGAAGAAATTTGGGAACAGAATGTGAATATAATATCCTAATTAAATAAACACATCACTCCGTGTAAGCAGAGCTTGGCAACGCGAGCGGACTTCTGGCGCTGGTTTCCACGACTGCCCCGCACAGCTCCCAGTCAACTTTTCTAATTGGCCTAGTGCAGCTAATCAGACCACCATGCACGGTCCAAATGGTAACTGTTACAGAGTGAAACCAGCACCCTGTGAAAATCTGACTTGGGGGATTTGGGCCCAGTAAGTAGATTATGGTGGTAGGAGCTGGTGGAACCCATAATGAATGAGCTGAGAGTTTCTTTCCCTCCCCAGCCTCTCTCATCGGTAATCCATCAACAGCAGGAGAAAGTAAGTGGGGGTCTGGGGACAAGTGTGGCTGGGTCTGATGTCAAACGGCACCAGGAGGGAAAAATCTCCACCAGGTAGCTGAAGTTAAAAGAACATCAGCAGCATTTTCAAGCTACGGACGCGCATTTCAGAGCTGGAACAAGTCATTCTGAATATTTAAGCGACTATTTAAACCTTTATAATTTATTGTTTAAGTCGTTTTTTTAAAGAAAAATGACAACTTCTAGCTTCCTAGGTGGGACTCTGGTCTGTTTAGTAGTATTCATAGTAGTTATCAGTATTTACAGAAGTTTTACTCGGCAGTCATTCTGCCTCAGTTTACCAAAAGCTCCACATGTGACCATCTTTAATTTGACTGATCTCTTTTTTTAAGTGGTGAATGTTTAAAATCTGGGGTCATATGTAACATTAGTGGAGTCGTGTCGATTTCTGCGCCGTTTTCTTTGCACCAATGTTTGAAATAACTTGAGAAATAACGTAGCTGAAGTCCTGAAATTTTGTAGCCCGTTAATATGTATACATGGTCTTCAATGGTACAAGCCTGCTTTAATACAAACCAGTGCTATGATGGTGCGAATCGGTCAAAAAATGTTTTTTTCTACTCCAATATTCTACCGATGGCACCACTTTCTGTTCCAATATTGGAACTCAATAACTACTGTGACCTATTTTATAACATGACCTGTGCACAGGAAGAGCATCTGGCAAAGGTTCGATGGTCAGGACTGAACTTTTTTTTTCAATTTGACCCTACAGTTGTTCCCTTCAGCTGTCTAACCTTAATTTTTCTACGTAATTGCAGCCATTTTTCACTTTGCTGTTCTGACACCGACCTTTGACTTTAAACCTGTTTGGCAAAAATTAACAACAACCATCAAGGAGGAAAACAACAGGAATTAGCATAATCAAGCAGCAGATACCCAATGAGCCATTCCTGCAACAACACACTTACGATGTTCATGAGCGTGAGAACGTAATTCTGCACGTGCTCCTTGCCGTGGAAGCGCACCACCGAGTCATCCACGGCCAGCAGCACCTCGATGTTGTAGTCGTCCTTCTTGGCGTGCCTCCTCTTGCGCTCGGATTCAGACAGTTTATGCTCGACCAGGTCCAGAGCCGCCGGGAGGTCGGCGATCCCGATGTCTGCCACTGCAAAACACGAGCAGGACGTAAACAAGTCAATGAACAGACGGCGAGAACCCGCTGCACGTACGATATGTCTTCTCCTGTTTCAGCTTCAGGGAAATGATTCACGGTCCTGTCATGCCGCACATAAAACTTCAGTCTTTGGGATGAGCAGGTGGAAGCCTTTGGGATTATCAACAGTGCCGAGGACTCTATATTTTCTTAACCACTCGATGTCTGGTCAAAATGCTCCCCTTTGAGTCGTAAATTGTTGGCCTGTAGAATCAGAAGATTTCCACTTTGTCCCACATGGAGAGTAACTATCATACGTGCATCCATGACGTGCATCCCATCTGAGTGGTATCTGTGATATTTATCTATCGACGGCTGTTTGTCTGAACTGAAAGCCGTAAATCGTGTGAAGTTGGGTGTTGCAGATTACGGCCGCGGCGGGGAAACTGTGAAACGCAACAGGTCTTGCGAGACGAGATGCAAAGTGAAACGCGGTGATTCACACGTCTGGATAAACTGAAAATTGAGTTGTCACTTTAGTCATAATGAATGAGATCGCTCAGAGGGCGAAGACGTCACTGCCGAAGATATACGACCATGGCAACCGTGGAGGTATTTTTAATCCGGCTCTGGGTTTGCACGAGGCAATCAGGAAAACGTGCCTCGTAGTTTAGGCACACGACCGGATAAACTGAAAATTAACTTGTCACTTTTGACATAATGAACGGAGATCACTCAGAGGGGAAGACGTCACTGCCAAAGATATACGATCACAGCAGCCGTGGAGGTATTTTTCATCTGGTTCTGGATGTGAATGAAGCAATCAGACGTGGTTTAGGCGGATATCACTGAAATTAATTACAAGCTTCTAATTCTTTCCCATCTAAGCAAGCAAACAAGTAAACAAACCAGCTCATAACCTTCGTGATGGAGGTAATTTGGAGCGTCGGCACCGTGAGCACGCCTGCCAGAAATTGCTTCAAATGTTAAAGCGTCACAAAAGCTTTGCGCAGCTTTCACAACACATTGTCACGTATACAACGTGCTGGGAAATCAATTGGACGAGGTATTTTCAGGAGGAAAATGCAGAAAATAAAGCGCAGCGTTCTGCAAACCCCATTTCAACAGTCGTCTCCTGCCAAACAGTCAGGAATCAATTTGTTCTGAATAATTGTAAATGCCAGAGAAATGGGTGCTCATCTGCAGCAGTTGTGGTCGAGTAAATAAAAATAAACGTGTTCAACAAATGCAAAAACGTGTCTGTTTCTAAAAAAACCATCAGTTTGCACAGCTTTGCCTGCAACTGACAGCACATGTTCTGAAATAATACAGAAAACAGAGTAAATAGAGACATTTAATGAGACTGAAAAAGCCTAAAACACTGTTTTAAGTACAAATGTGACTGTGCTGATAAACGATATTTTGTGGTATTCTCTGTTTGAAAGTGAGGAAAACTCTCATTACCTTTATTGTGAAGGAGAAAAGTCTGCAAAGAGTCTGAAAAACACCACAAATACAGACCCTGCTGCTTTCTGCAGTGACGTAAGGCCCACAGCGTTGTGCACAGGTGCAGAAACGGTAAAGAAAAAGGTAAAAAAGTGCAACGATATTCAAGGACTTCAGCCCAGTTGGGTGCATATTCGACAGGAGACAGCTGCATCGCTTCACTGGAGAATTAGTGGCATTTCATGACGTTACATAAAAATAAAGCCGGATTGGAAAATGTGAACGAGTGACTTGATTAAAATTGTTCCAAAGGATGCATGAGCTGAAGAGTAAAAACGAAAAGACCAATGAGGGTTACGGGAAATGGAGTGAATTAGCGAGCACGGTGAGACTCTCCCCGCCAGATGCTCAAGCTATTGTTGCGGCGAAGAAAAAGGAATAGAGAAGGAATTCATGATGGAGCCGCTTGACTGCGAAGGAAAGGTCACTCCAACCTCTGGCTCCCCCACACTCCCCAGTCCCCAGTACGACCACTGGAGCCCAGCATTCCTCATTTTACCAGCTGCTTAAGCGAACGCCGCCTCTGCTGCTCAGCCTAATAAATATATGTAGGGTAGCTACGGGGCTACAGAAGCTGCAGGGGAAAGCGTCCGCCACGGTTCTGGTGTGCAAGTTTTAGCCTGTTAACTGTAAATAATGTATAATCCTGTTTTTTTAATCAGCTGTGGCTTTACCTTGTGCTTTTCACTGATTTCAGCTCAGTATTTAAAATATTCAGCTGAACTTCAAGAGCCTGAGCTGTCAGTAGTGTTTTCATGTTGTTGAAAAAGTAAGAATTCACCACTAATTAAAATCTTAATCAAAGTATGTGTGGAGCACCTGAGGAACAAAAAGCATGACAGCCGGCGCTGAACGTCTGCACAGGCTCACAACCTTGTACGCGTCAGCTTTAATTAAAATGCCTGATTCGAAGAAAGCAAAATGCACATTTTTGCTAACTTAAAACAAATTGAAATGTTTTGCTGATGCTGTTTGGGCTGAGAAAGCGTAAGTCAGACAGTAGTTCAGTGGCAGCTGAAGGCATTTAGCGTCTTGTTCGCTCAGTTATGTTTTGTTTGGAAATAAAACATAAAATTCTAATTATTTTTAACTTCTGATTGGCTACAGTTCACTTCAAAACACAAACACGGTTCCACTGCTCATGAAAATCACCCATAAACTGCTCTAACTCCTGTATGCATCCTCTAATTGTTGGTTTAACTTCATTTTTATTTGTTATTTACGACCAGGATCACACAAAATCACGAATCGGAACCAACAACCTTCATGTTAGTGACACATTTCTCTAGAAGCTGCACCAGTTTGGCGTCCTCAGACAAAGATATGAAGAGTTCGTTAGCAAAAACAGAAACTCCATCTTCACAAACCTTCAGAAAACCCACCTGAGACAAAACCGATCAAACTAAAGTTATCTCAAGTTCTACTGAGTCAGATCCACTCAGCTTCAGTCTGATCGATATTATCTCAAGCAATGAAAAAAACGTTATCTGTTATTGCATATGAACTCTTCTTGTATTTTTCTTTCCATTCTTGTTTTTTCAGCAAAAGAATCCACAAACATAATACTGACATCCAATATTATCCCCTGATGAGGTCGTCATGTATTAGTGCTTCTCTATTTGCACAACTGGTGACACACAGAACAACATAAATGTTCCCCCAGAATTACTTTCTTTGTGTTGTTTGTAGGTTTTTTTTAGATCTAATTTTGTCTCCACAAACAAAAGCTCTGGTATCCGCTGATCAACTGGTGAAAGCTGCAGGCTGTAAAAACCAAAAAAGCAGCTGAAAGGTGCTAAAAAGCTCATTAATTATAGAGAATTAAAATTCAGTTTGTTGGTGAGGAATCTCTTTCACGCTGAACTGATGTAAAAAAACAAAATACTGAATAGTGCAGCTTCACATGTAAAACAAAGTCCAATAAAAATCCTGTTTAGTCGTCTCAGAAATATTGTTTTTTAAAAAGTATTGCATTATTAAAAGGAAGGAAAAGTCTGGAGGCTGGGGGTTGATGTCATGTTTGATAGACAGCAGCTCGCCACAGCGGTGATACAAGGAATTAGACAAACCTGCACCGTAGCAGCAAATCACCTCGTTTGTGGTATTGGCGAGTAAAAAGCACCGCCGGCGTCTAACTGGACTCGGAGCGTCGTTTGCAGACACATTTACATGCAGGAGCTGAGCAGCTAATGAGCCCTGGAGCCGGCGAACTTGTGTTAGCGGTGAACTCTGTGAATGTGTTCCTGGACAAGCAGCAGAACGAGTGCCGTCCTGTTTGTCTCTCACCATTTGTTTGGCTCACTGCTCTGCCTGAGATTCGATTGGCTGTTTAGAAATCCATCCATGTAGACAGATACCTGATGATGTTCTATCAAGTTCATACAAAACTAGGGGGCGCCATCATCAAAGAAAAAATGTAAATGTCCCTGTCTGGAGCTCTTCTCTGAGGGGAACACAGTGCAAGCGAAACACGTACAGAGCAGATGTGTGTTGAAAACAGCTGTTTAATTCCACTTAGAGCTTGTAGCAACAACAAAACTGGTTCTGCTTCATCAGCTTAGACAAAAAAGAACAGATTTGATGTTCTGTGGTGGCTTCAGGAGTCTGCGAGTACAGATCTGAATGGAAAGGAGGAAAAACGTGCCCACTGTTTGGTCCTTTAAAGCAACAGTCATACAGTCATGATGGTTCTCTGTCATTATTCTGTTCTGTGTCAGTTTGTCCCTCATTGTGGACGTTGATCTTCCACAATCATCATCACACAGTTTTCTATGAACCAGCAGCACTTTCTCTCATACAGTCACAACACTCCAGCCCACACACTGCCGTCTGTTTCCACTGACGTCACGCTCCTTCCCCTTCGCCTACCTTCGTTGTGGAGGTCGTCCCTCCGCTGGCCCGTCTCCCTCTTGATGGCTGATCTGCGGTAGACCACGTGGACACGCCCCTTCACTTCCACATCCTGCTGGCCCTTCTCGAGGGGTTCGATGAAAAACTCCCCATTATCAGTGCGGATCAGGCCTGCCTGGAAAAAGAGGGTCTTAAAATTAGTGCGCCGCTCTTCCCTTTAAAGGACGGTAATTCCACTGGAGCCTGTAATTACAGCGTGCCTGATCAATTGGGAGATTCGGTGAGGATGTGGAATGACGCAGGTAGGCACAATTTGGGGCCCCTCGAGCCCCTTCGCCGAGATTCACGGAGCGTCGCAGTGATTTCACCCCGAACGAGATGATGAGCAGCGATGTCTCAGTTCGCCCGTGTGTTTCCATCTGCTTTACATTTTTAAATAAATTCAAAGAAACCCTCTCAGCTGGATACGCTCGCCGAGCTTTGATACCAATCTGCGATGCCCAAAGAGTTCAAAGCCTGCGTTGGAGTTTGTGATGTGCTCACTTTCGCTCAAACTGCCCAGCGAGCAATTTGAAAACTCTGACACTTCCCAGACTTCCCTTTTATCTGCCACGAGCCACTGTGATGGCGCTGCGTTCGTTCAAAGCACATCTTTGCACACCATTGACCATTCTGTCACCCCTTTAATTTCCAGAGAGATGAAAGCCGGAACATGTGCTTGACTCCATAATGGTGGCATCCTGTGTTTTAGGCCTCTTGTTGTAAATCTAACGTGAGTTAAGATCAATATTCAGATGGGGTCCACGGGGGGAAACCATCGCTTTTAGACTTTATCTACACACAGTATAGTTTAAGGGATTGCACATTTTGCTCCTAGACTTCAATCTCGTGAAATCAAAGTGCTCGTATGTGTTTGTATCGTGGCCACCTTGTGTGCTACTGGATTTGTTTGCACCGCTTGGTCGATACAAGCATCGGTTTATGAAACAGTCACCTTAGGCTATTGTGCACCATCACCTCCCAAAAGACAACCGCATGTTACATCCAGCTTGCAGCAACAGATTGTTCGGCCACTTCAAGGCAGCAGAAACAGGCTGCGAGCACAACACTTACTCATGACCACCTTTTGAGTTGTTATCGTGAACCTGTTGACACGCGGTCGCCTTCATGTGCATCCAGCAGACAGAAAACCGTTTGGAGAATAGAAATCCTCCCCCGGCGTCTGCCTCTTTAGCTGCTAAGTGGTCCACTGTGTTCAAACGCTAGCTGCCCGGTTCAGTCCGTCTCCTGTTGTTGCTCAGGAGGTAGCTCAGAGTGAGCTTCAGTAGAAAACACCATCCTGCTGCAGCTACAGACAATGAAAGCGAACCAAAGCGGTCAAATCAGAGGCCTGAAAACGCAGCTTTGTAGAGCTGAAGGGAACTACAGTGGAGTCCAATCTGCGTATTGGTTATTACGAGTGAAAGCGGGCCATGTGAGTAAATGTAATAACATTGATTATAGACGCGGCGGCGGCTTCAGCGCTCCATCCTGGCCTACACCGGATACGCTCAGGCACGACATTGAGCGTCGGATACAGTCTGGCAGCGCTCAGGATGCATCACACAATAGTAAAGCGCATAAAACAGGACAATAGATCCACCGAGTCAGTGCACACTTCAGGTTGCGGTTGACCGACAGAAGCAGCTGGAATACCTCCTGTGTGGACCTGCACATTTTTTTCTCCACACAAAAGGTACAATGCACAACAGAACCTCTGCTTTGTCGGTCAATTATTGTATTTATCCTTTTCAGATGGCTAACCGGTGCACAACGGAGGCAGACGTTTCACAACCTGGAGTTAACCAACCTGAGCGTCTCTGTGAGAAAACAGCAAGAAGAAACTCACACAGACACAAATAAACTGTCGATGATTTTCTCTGATTTAAGATGTCTTTGTGAAAGACGTAGTAACGAGGCTTGTTGGGGAGACAGCTGGTGTAACATGATTTGCTCCAAACTCTGCAGGAACATTGTGTGAACTGTTTCTAATGAAAGCACAATGCACTAAAAAAAAAACCTCCAACATCACGGCAAACAACATATAATCCGTCGTGAGCGAAAAACAATGCTGCATCTTCTGGTTAAAAAAAAAAAATCAGTTTCTATTAATGAGCACCAACTGCACTGTGGGAGTACGCTCTCCTTCATACTCGTCACTATGGGGAAAAAAAAAAACTACTGTCCAGCCTGTCATTATCCTCATGAAGAAGGCACACCAACAAGATTTTGGCAAGAATGTGTGTATTTACAGCTGCAAAAAGAAAATCTAAATACAGTGCAGCAAACAGAACCTCGTGCCCGAAATAAAACAACCTCATCTGAAGATCCTCGGCACGCTGTCATTTGGGACTAACAATGGGAACGCTGTGAACTTCAGGGTGGACAGATGTGACAGCGAGGGCAAAGAAGAGTGAAGGAATCTCTCCAGCCCCCTGACCAGGAAATGCCAAGTAAGACATGCTCCAATACTTCCTCTGTGGTCTCTTATTTCAGCAGTGGGTGGAAAGTGAAGTCGGAGAGAGCAGCAGCGGCGGCGGCGGCGGCATCTGGAAGGGCCTACGGAGGAACCAAATGTAAACATATGTAAACTCTACGGTGAAGTCCGGGCTATAGGCGAGGACGGGAAGAGCGTTGGAGAAGTTCTGGATTCGTTTCTGTGTCGTTCAAAGCTTCGTGTCACTGAAAACTACACTTAGACCATTTCAAAATCTTGCATTTGCACGACCTACAAGGGCACCTTCTCAACTCTGATTTACATCTGAGACAATTCTAAGTCTCAGCTTTTAAAATTCAAGCTTTTCCCGTTTTAATTTAAATATCTTTGGGTTGTGGACTCTTCAACCAAACAAAAATGTGATCTGACAAAGTCAACCTGGACCTGAGGAGCTCGAGAACCGGCTGATTTTATTGCATGGTGTAGGCAAAACAATTCACTGAATATCCTTTCAGTATATGATTGCACTTTCCCCAAAAAAATCAGGAAGCAAATCACACAATGTTCCCCAAAAACAAAGCAAATAAAGTAGATTTCTGCCCAAAGTAGCGTCTGCAGAGCGTCCTGACAGGCTGCATGTTATTAAGTGACAGCTTCACTCATTCGGACGCTAACAGCTGGTCAGCAGCAGAACTCAGAGAGAAGCTGTGAAACCGGAGATATAAAAACTTATATTCTGAAAAGTGTTGCTTCGTTGACCAGTGAAAATTACACCCTCCAGCCCGGGCTCCAGCTGTGGCTCGACTCTCCTCTCACACGGTCGTAAATAAGCGAAGCCACAGTGTTGCTGTTGTTTTGGAATCCTGTCGTCGCACTTTGCACCGACGCGAGTGGCGAGAAATCAGTGGAATTCAGTATAACCGACAAATTAAAGGGAAAAAAAACCCCGAAGCCTTGGAGTGGTTTCCTCCAGCGTGACAGCGTCCTCGTTAATACAACGGGTCGCTGAATGGTTTGTTCGGTATGAGAATCATGTGAATCATACGCTGAGGCCTTCACCGAATCTTCACCAACTTAAACACCGTTGGCAGATTTTGGGCTGACGTGGTCGACACACCATCTACTGAGAGAACATGTTTTGGAAAAGTGGTGTTCATCCCTCCAGCTGAGGTCCACAGACTTGAAGAAGCGCTCAGCGGCCCAACATCTTACCTAAACAGTTTATGTTGGCTCATCTGCAGCATGTTTAAATATTATCTCATCATCACTTTGTGGCAAATGACGCTTTGTTTCCCATTTCTGAGACGCTCACATCGGAGATTTCAATCTGCGATGACGAAATGCAAAGTGAGCTTATCTGGGTCACTCGAGGTTAAGCCGATATCGCTGTCATCCGGTCGCTCCAGATCTTACAGCATGTGGTTCTGCTGTAGCTTCTCCTGCGTGTGCACTGAAAAACAGCGAGGCATCCATACAAAAAAAAAGAAAAGAAAAGGCAAATATAGGCAGGCCTTCAGCTCACCGATGCACTAAATTCCACACATCCGTAACTTTGACGGAGGATATTTACTGTATGTAATTTCAGAGCGACTCTTTCAGCTGAGCGGAGGCTGTCGGAGGCCGTCACCTGCTCCGAGCGGCGAACACACCGAGGCAAACGAGGTGAAATCACTTCGCAGCAGGAAATTGGGCTTGTTTAAATAAATGTGTCACGCGTGGATGTGCTCAGAAGGCTTGTTTCAGAAGTGGCACGGAGGAACAATGAGGTAAACAAAGGACAGGAAACAACCAAGAACGAATTAAATGAATCTCAAATGAAATATCTTCCCTACCTGTGGACATGTGATCTGTCGTCTGCATATGCAAGAAATATTGACTGATATTCAGTTCTTGTGTCTTTACGTTACGGCAGTTCAAAGATTTCAACAGCAAGCTGTAAAGTCTGGAGAGTGCATTCATTTTAGGGTCCTTTAGTGAGACGTAGTAAGAAAATCTCATTCCAAAATCCTCTCACTACACTGATAACGAAGCATCAGAACAGATTTCAGTTGTGTGTAAAGTGCGACCCAGTTTATCCGTCTAGATAACGCTGACCGATGATCTAATATCTTTGTTTATTCAATATTTCATTTTTGCAGCCTTTCATGAACACTCATTCCCACCAATAAAAGACAGGGGAGCAAAAATAGGATCTTGGAAAGTGAGTGAGGCATGTCCTCCCCCATCCCCACTGGAAATTACACCCTTGCTCACAGAGATCACAGGCCAAGCTGTTTTCCTTCACAACACTCAATCCGCATTATAACATAAAAAGAGACGTAGAAGTGGCTCATGATGGACGCAACACGGCGCCGGCATGAAAAAACCTGGTGGTCGTCCGCTGAGACGATCTGTCGGCGGCGTCCTTTATGGCGCACGACAAACAAACACAACCTAAAAATGGAACAAGTGCCCCAGGCCACGGATGCTTGAGATGCAACACGCTAGAGGAAATCAAAGTCCGGCCATCATTCCAGGAGCTCAACCTGTAATTTGTGGCAGATTGTTTGGAAACATGTAATTTTGATTCAAGGCACACTCTTTGTTGATTCACAACCCAGAGACAGAGAGTTACAAAGGTAATCCACCGTCAGCCTCTGAGATCAGGCCACGGACTCTTATTTTCATGTAAACTGCGTGACCTTTAGACATGAGGTCCA